GAGTCGAATGCGCCTCGGAAATCCAGAAATACTAGAATCGTGGGTCGCTTATACGTATGGCGTTGTTCTAGCACCTGACGCAGTGTGAAGAGGAGTATGAAGGAGATCACGAAACGCTTAGGTGCTGTCGGTGCTACTCGCCTTCCTGGATGGGGACCGCGCGATCCTCACTGTGCCTGGTTGGAGTCACTACAAGATATGGATGCCAACCGATGTCACTGGCGTTCTTGTTGTCAGTTTCTGTCCAGATTGCCTGAGTGAATGTCTGGAGGTGTAGGGTCCTCGGAGTGATTGTTTAAGCTAGCACTAAGTCCCTCCTCCATCCACCTTTACTCTTTTCTTTACAATAAGGCTTTCAAATAAGTCATGGTTGTACGCAGTGAGGCATCCGTGTTGAACACTGATGGCTGTCGGTCGATGGTGATGATGATGATGTTGATCAACCGGCTCCCTGAACGCCTGCCGGGCGGTTTGATAAACGTTCCTGATGAAAATAGAAAAGTAATTACATGGGGCCGGTACGGGATTCCTTTGATGGTAGACATAGTTGGAGAGAATCAAATCAGTAAACACATCTTAACCAGGAACACCTCAATGGTTTGCGTGGAGGCAGCTCTTCTGTGACTGTTGATTGAATCGGTATTTCCGTCGATTGGATACACCTCTGGGGGAATTCATCAGTGTCCTCTTCACTGGGTGTATTTGATAGCCAACAAGAAGAATGTCATACGTTTTGTGCGCTGTACATATGGGCCTTGAATAGTTTCGTTGTAAAGCTTCATTCGAATAAATTGGTATGGTTTTACAGTAGTGAAGCACCAATGTTCTCATTTGGTGTTGTTCCAAATGATGAACATTTTTGGTGTGGTTGGAATAGAGCTACCGAATCCTTCTTAAATGAATGCTATTGACATTTACTTTTATTTCATATCCGTGCTCCATACGTGCTAGCGCGGAATGGTGAGCTTGTTAGGTATCCATTGGCCCTATCATATGGGTCATCACAAACTGTTTTCCACCTATCTAAACTTGATGAAGAACCACCACAACACCTAATCTTGACGACAAAAACAATTGATTACAAGCTCTATAGCCACTAAATGAACACGAACTTCAGATTCTTCCTACTGGGTGTGTTACCCTAAGTGAATATTACATCTGCTTGATGTCTCAACAAGTGGTATCATTTGCTAAGTCAGACAAGGATGTCCACTCTCCCCTTTCTTGTTCAACTTCGTCATCGATGAACTAATGAGGCGAACACTGGACGGTTTTCAAAACCCCGGTGTTCAAATTGTTACTGGCGAGAGCCTTGTCGCTCTGGAGTACGCAGATGACATCGCCCTCATCTTTGAAGACTTTAGCGAAGCACAAGCCCTGTTGAATAAACTGACCGCCATCATACCATCATTTGGCATGCGCCTTGCACCTTCAAAGTGCAAAGTCCTGCTTCAGAAC